TAGAGCTACAGATCCGACTATTATCCTTACATCTAGTGTTCTAAAATGGCCTGGAACAACAAAAAAGTCTGATAGTCTTTTTTTGTGAAAATTTTTTCACTCAGTTTAAAGAAAACATATCATGCGGTGAAGTCCTTCCTTTTCTTTTTTATATCCTTCAAAACAAAAAGACGTGACTGAACTTTGCATAGACATGTTTATAGAATAAAATATTTGCCAGTTCTTATATATGAAACTGCTAAAGCTCAGATAGATGGGAGAATATCCTCAAGTGGCACTTCTGCCATTAGGAGGGTGCTGCGGCTTCTGTTGGTGAGATGTATCATGTTCACTTCCTGTTCAGACTGCAGAGTTGCATTGTTGTTCAGTGTTGAATACTGTTGAATACTGACAGGGTCATATTTATTGCCATATATATATATATATATATATTATATGAACAAAACTACAACAAAAACTAAATCATGAAATAAAACAGCATGATTGGCTGTAATGAGAGTGGAGACAGAAGACACTCAGACTTTACTGAGAAAAAACCTGCTGCTGACCAGGTTAGCTCTGGGGAGAATGTCACTAAGGTCACTGAAATAGAGGTTACGGAAACTCTCTTTCTGAACCGGAAAACTGGATTTTTTTTTTTTTTTTTTTTACTTTTCTGGAAGTTGTTGCAAATTTCATGGCATGTAGTTGGCAACAGAAATAAGATCCAAGAAGAAGTAAAGAAGAAATTAAAAGCAGGAGACACCAGGGAGAAACACACATGAGGATCAAATAAGTGAAAAAAAGATCAACAGGAGGAGTATATATGGGGGGCAGAACAAAGACTGGGCTAATCAGCTGATATGGAACAGGTGTGTTTAGAAGAAACTAGAAGCTAGGGGAAAGGAGACTGGCACAAGGGGGCAACAGAGAGCAACACAAACAACACTGCTTAAATGTAACTAGAAAGCGACTACAATGACACAAAATGGAAAATAATCAATTACCAAGAAAACACAGAATGACATAAATCAAAGTGTAATTCAAAAAAACAAAAAGAAACTTAAACAGAACCAAAAGGTCCACAAAGGACAGAATCATTACATAAAAACCTGGATGACTCTTAACTTTCTGCTCCTGAATGCAGACAAAACAGAAGTTATAGTCTTTGGACCAGAGTCTCTGAAAAATAAGCTGATTAGTCAGTCAGTTCATTTAGATGGGATTCAACTGATCTCAGATAATAAAGTAAAAAA